ACTTATATTGTTGCGCAAGTATTTGCAGGCTTATATCATATCTTTGTTATCTCAAGAAATAAAAAATAATTTGATTGTTTTGCAGATAAATTACAAATTATTTAAAGTGTTAATTATTGTAATCGTGATGGCCACTAACTTTCAATCTACAAATGATCATTGGCTAGTTTTAAAAAATGTAATACGTGACATTCAAGAAAAGAAAACATCTGAAGTAAAATTCGAAGAATTATATAGAGATGTTTATATTATGGTAAGAAATAATCAAGAAGAAAAATTGTACATCGAATTAAAAAAGCTTATAACAATTTTCTTAATACATAAAATCCGTAAGAAGCTTTTGTCTTCTTTCAATAACTATTTCATGAAGACACTTAATGAAGCTTGGAATGATTTTCAAGTGATTATGTGTATGATTCGTTATTTATTTATATATTTAGATCGGAGATACGTGAATGAGAAAAAGGTAGAAAATATATATAATCTTGGTTTAATTTTATTCTTAAATAATGGTTTGAAATATAAAGATATCATCTGTCATTTCCGGCGCACTCTTTTCAAAATGATTGAAAATGAAAGGAAAGGAGAACTCGGAAACAGATTTGATATCAAAAATGCATGTGATATGTTGGTTGCTTTGGGAATTGATTCGAATTCTGTCTACGAGGAAGAGTTTGAAAAATATTTTTTAAAAGAATCGGAAGAGTTTTATAAAAAGCAAAGTTATATATTGTTACTAGAAAATAATTCTTCAGTCTATATTCGAAAAGTTAATAAAATAATCATTGATGAAATTCGTCGAGCAAAAATTTGCTTTTGCAGAAAAACTGAAAAACACATTATGGAATTATTGCAAGAAGAATTAATTCGGAAACATTTTAAAACAGTTATGGAAAATGAGAATTCTGGAATATTTCATATGCTAAAAAATGAAATGTTTGACGATCTCTCTCAATTATACCGATTATATAGTTTCACTGATGACTGCTTGAGAACAATAATAAAATATGTAAGTTTATGTTTTAAAGAGGAGGCGAAGAAATTAAATGGAGAAAGAGAACTTAAATACGATGAATACATAATTTCTCTGTTAAATTTAAAAGAAAAATTTGATCGTATTTCCAAAAAATGTTTTAATTCTTGCAGCTATTTAAATCGCATCCTCTTTGATGACTTAAAGTATATCTTATCTTGGAATCTTAAATGTCCTGAATACTTAGCTTTATATCTCGATAATATAATTAGGAAAAATGATAAACGAGTATCAGAAGAAGAAAATGAACTAATCACAAAGAAAATTTTAACAATTTGTCGATATCTAAAAGATAAAGATATTTTGATACATTATTATGAACATTTCTTAATGAAACGACTTTTGGATTACAAAAATAACATGATAGATACTGAATTAGATATGGTTTCAAAGTTAAGTGCAGAACTTGGCAGTCATATGACTTATAAATTGAAACAAATGATCTGGGACATATGCTATTCCAATAATCTGACCGAAAATTTTAAGCGCAAGCAAAGAGATTTGAATACGTGTTCCGTAGATATGAGAATAAATGTGTTAACTACGGCATTTTGGCCGATCAAATCAAGGATAACAGAATGCAATATTCCAAAAATTTTAAAGAAACCTCTTCAAGGATTTTTAAAACAATATTTAAAAATTCATTCCAAATGTAGGCTCATATTACAACCGCATTTGGGAAGGGCAGAAGTTGAAGTTGCTTTTTATGAAAACTCTATGAATGGAAAAACTGAAAACGGAAATTTATCATCATCATCATCAAATACTCTTCCGATTAATAAATATCAATCTAGGAAATATACTCTAAACCTCTCTACATACCAAATGTGTATTTTGATGCTATTCAATACGAGAAAAACTGCTACTTTCAAAGAGATAGCCAATGAGACAAAAATCTGCGATGAAGATCTCAGAAAAGAATTAAAAATATTAACAACTGGATTAATGTCGCAGAAAATATTAATTAAAATACCAGAAAGTTATTTAATAAAAACGGACCATATCTTTAAAGTTAATAAATTATTTTTTTCCAAGACGAGTTATGTTTATATAAAAAATATTGAAGAGAAAGAAAAGTTAGAATCTTCTATTGAAATACTTAGAAATGCAAATAGGAACAGAAAATATGATATTGAAGAAGTAATCCTGAGGGTAATGAAATATTCAAGAACGATGGAACATAATTTGCTTGTTTCGCAAGTAATTCGACAGCTAAAAAGCAAATATGAAATTAATAGTGCCCATGTTAAAACGCGAATAGAAAATCTTATCCAGAGAAATTACATTGCAAGACATAAAGAGGGCAAGAACATTTACGAATCAATAGAATAATACAATATCTCAATAATTCGAATTCCTATTATATAAATTTTTTATACAGAGTAACATTTTTTATCTTCATATTCAAGCTAAATTTCACACGATTTAAAACTCAAATTTTGTAAGACAATTAGTTTTTTTTTTAATATTAAAATAGTAGTATATCAAAATTGTATTCTGGTAGAAAATAATAAATTTTATTAGCCTATGTANATCTGATGGGGTTTTTTAAATTGTTGATTAAAAGAAAAATAAGTTGTCTGTCATTTATTTAACCTTATGTATTTATTAATTTTTAAAAATATTTTTATATTTTCTAATAATTCATTTATTTTACATCAATTTAATTTATTAAATTTGTAGTGTTCTTTGTAGTATTTGTGTTTAGTAGTAAAATTATTTTGACCCAATTGAATTTAAATATTTTGGATCAATCCTTTATTATCCCTACTCTAAATAAGTAGACTACTCTATTTTTCTGAATGAACCAGACTAATTGATCAGAGTTCATATTTTTCTTTTCTGAACAAGGGGCTGAAGTAGCTAGATCGCAGTTTTTAATTGAACTAACGGCAACATTCTATGACAAGGTGCTAAGATTAATCATATTCGTTTTGTACACCGCGCTTAAGTTAAGCGTCATCTGTTCATTTGTTATGTCCGGTCATTGAAAGACCGCTCTGGATCGAGTGTCAGTTGTATATACAAAAGGTAAATTGTTTACAAACTGAGTCTTTGTCTATTGTCTGATAAATGTATACTTTTATTTCGTCAATTGTTCACAATAGCAGATGTCTTTTGTGTAAGATCCAAGTCGGATGTAAGCTAATAAATGTTCTCGTTAATCTTATCTCGCCTTTTGATTTGTTCACGGTTACTAGAAATCACCACACAAGGGAATGGAAAAGCTCATCCACAAATATGTCAAATGCTTCAATCTTCACAGTGATTATGTCGAAAAGTAACCATGTCTGTACCTAACTTTAATAAATTCATTTCGTTATTTACAATTGTCTTTTTTTTTTTTTATGTACCATCGGAGCTTGAAAAACAGCTTATGTATAAAAGTATTTGGGCAGAGAGCCCGGAGCTCTTTTTAGAGTTCAAAGTAGGATACCCCTATGATCGCCTCTGCCCCCCATAAAATGATTTGGTATTTAATTTTGCCAGAGTCGGAGTCGGCTTACTAAAATTATCAGGAGTCGGAGTCGGAGTCGAGTGTTTATTTACCGACTCCGTAGCCCTGGAATGTGGTATATTGATAAGGCTAGTGCATCTAGCTACTAAAAATCATAAGTTATGTTTATAACGGGCAGATGACTGAGTGATTAGGGTGACAGCCTACTGCTCGAATCCAGACGGTCTAAAACCCCAAGAATATTTCGATAGGTGGTCCATCCGAATATGTCGGATCCTGTCCTTCACACACCGGCCGTCCCGGTGTGTGGACCTGGCCGACAGGTCATCGAGACTTTGTATGGGGTCCGAATGTAGAACGGATCTCTTTTGCCATTTTGTTTTGAAACAAATGAAATATATAGAATGCTTCTTTGTTAATGAAAAGCATCTTAAAGATTTTATTTCTGTTAGAAAAATAACGTTAATTTACAGAGTATAGACCCGTACTTTTTTCTTCGGGTCCGTGGAAAAACCCCGGCTCTCCTCCTTTCAACGATCTTGCTGGTCAAACCCATAATGGTCTTGCTAAAAATGACCTCTTAAAAATTTTCAAACATCTACATTTCTTATTTGATTGTTTTTAATACAAATCAGAATATTTTCGGGTAGAAATGAACAAATCGGGAATTCGGGAAACATTTTCCGATCTGGACGAAATATATCAAACGAACAAATCCCGAAAAGTCGGGACGTATGACAACTTTATCCTATATCGGATTTTATAGTGGGCGAATCTAAGTTTTCGGCGTAATTACTCGGGCTCTGGTCAAAATCGGAGCTTAATTAATATGAAAAGTTTACGTTTATAGTAGTTTGATATAGTCTACTAATATTTCAAAATATATTCCAATATAATTGTAACATTTTGATAGTGTCTGCGGATAGTCATTTGACTTATAGATATAGGAAACAGTGGAATAAATGAATAGTAACAGTGTCATCTATCTAAGTTATCGGATGGACTTGACAGAATTTATTTGAAGTTGCTCGTTTTCTTCGGTTGCAAAGATATTCATTTGAATAGGCATCTCAAAAGGACTCGATTAGAATCACTTTTGACATGTGTTTGGAATTATAATTCCATGTGGGAAGCGTTCTGATGTAAAATTTCAAATCAGTATAGCTCTTTTTGACTTTTTTTTTACTTAATAAATTAAACAGATCGGTCTACAATCCTGGAGGTCTCCCGTCTCACACGGCCGGAGCTATAAATAAGTTTATAGCTCCGACCGTGTGAGACGGGTCGATTGCAGAGAAGACTATAAATTCTGTCAAGCAATTAAGATCTCTGTTATTCTCTCTTGTCTCAATCCACAGTAACGATAAAGCTCGGAATCAACTTTCTAAAACCGGCCGTGTCGCAATTAGGGGCGTCCAAATACATTTTTAGCATGTATAAATACGTTGTCGTATCGAAACTACCGTACAGCGAATTATAATCTCGATTCCGGAAGTCGAAGTTAGTGACTACCAGGTGTCGCATTATCAATCTGCAATGGACTTTTAAAAGGTGGTGCAGCTGATGCAGTTTTGAATATTATTACAAATACTTGGAAGAATCTCGGAGACATTTTCGGTATTAACAACATGATATGAATAAATCGGAATAATTCAAATATTAATTGTATTTCTAAAAATTTTGATTCGAGTTGTTATAATCTGAAATTAGAAGAAAAATGTGTGCTCAGCCTATTATAAATCCTGTAAGTATCTGTTAAGAAAAGAATGAATTATTTACCTGATTTCATATATTTGATTTATCATTGAATATGGTTAGGTTAGAAATAAAATATTTAAAATAATGTGTATTGGTTCAAATAATATCTTTTTGATAAGCTTGTCTTAATAAATTTAATATTCAGACAAAATATCAGCATTAAAATGGAAATTTCATTTTCATAAGATTAAAAAACAAATGATCAATAATTCATGTGAAATTATGATTTTTGTTGTCATTTTTATTATCTTTTTTCAGATAACATCACATTATTTCATCTTTGTTATTTAAAAATACTTATTGAACAGAATAATATTTAAACACACCCAAAAGCCGGAACATTTGATTAAAAACACTGCTCACCACTCATAGGTATGAGAATAATATTTGTAATGGTGTTCTGTTTGGAAAGAACATTACATGTATTTGATGGCTGTTTTTAAAGAAACAAATATTGAATCATCTGTGTGTTTCTTTAATGATAAGTCTTTAATTATTATTTTTTTAGTACTCAAAACTCAACACAACCTTTTAAAATGCAGCTTTTTTATTTAAATTTTTGAACATTTTCAGCCAGTTTGAATGGCCTTATTTTTAAAAAAATATTTAATACAAATATACTTTATTACACACATGTAGAATATTATTACAATGAAGGAGTTATCATACACGTGAAAACAGTGCGTTATATAACTTTCATTGTAATAATATTCTACGTATGTTCAATAAAGTTTTTGTATTAAATGTTTATTTCTTGTGTAATATTTGGATTTTGATAACATGAAAAAAGTTGAAACCATGCAAATGTATATAACTCATTTAGTACAGATGGTTACGGATTATAGTAGGTTATAGTATTGAGTATGAGACCAAAACATCCAAAAGAATCTTAAATTTATAGCATTTGAAACAACAGAAAATTGCTGGAATTGTAGAAGTTCATATTTCAAATATTGAATTTTATTAAAAATATCTAATGCTTTAATAATTTTTCAAATAGTATATAGTTTTTTTTTTTTTTTTCAAGGCAAGAATTGTTAAAGCAAGAGAGGATAATAGTATTCAGTATTTTATTAGAGTAAATTTGATAAGTGTATAGTGAAATACTGCTAATAATACCAGTTATGATCTATCCTTTATGAACAAATACATTAGAAAGAACCATAATTTTGGAAATTTTTATGAAATATGCTCTGCAGTTGCCTGCTATGGTGTTTAAATAACTTGAGAATTGATGAAAATTTAAAATATAAAAAAAGTATCTTAAAACAGTGTGTTAAAATTTGATTTACTTTTTACAAGGAGTGTTTTTTTTTAGTACACAGTACATACTCTTTTTATAGGACATTCTGTCTTGGACTGCCTAACACATTTGTATCTTTTATGAGTCAGAGTAAAATAGAAATACAAAAAATTAAAATGTAAAATTAAAGTTTCATTCGTGGAAACTTTTTCCATTAACTGTGGAAGATGTCACTTAAATGACCACCTACTTGAGGTACTGTAATATTTTTCCCCATCACTTTAAAAAAAGTTTCAGGAGTTACATAGGTGATTTCATGTTAAATGTTCATTTTCAGTTCAGCTAAGATTCTTGCCTTGTTTGTGTAGACTTTTCTTTGGAGTTATTTTAAAAAAAAAGAATCTGGTGCTGTCAGCTTAGGTTAACATGGCAACTTCCTCAAGTCACTGCTTCTTGAGACATTTAAGTAATGTTATATCCTGCTCTTAATGTAAAAAATTTCCATGAATAAAACTTTAATTTTGCATTGTAATTTTTCTTTTTTATCCTGCAACTTATAGAAGAAACAAATGTATCAAAATTTTTGTACCATTTTATACATAAAACACAAATTATACAAATACATGTAAGTTATATTAAATTAACAATTCAATTAATTAGAAAAAGAAGTTACTTATAGGTTTTTGTGTGGTTTTTTTTTAATAAACTATACTAATTCTGACTGCAATGCAGTGGCGTGCGGTGGCATTTGATGATAGGGAAGCTGTGCCGGCCCTGAATAGACTCATTGGAAGCGTTATATTATATTTTGGTGTGTAGCATGCACGAATGCCTGTAATCTGGTTGCTTTACACAATTTTACATATTTTTTTCGTGGAAGGAAGCTGTCCCGTATTCGAAAATACAACGCTTCCATTGGAAATATGCACATACGAATTCATATTCGAATATACTAGAGCAATCTTATTATTTTTTTCACATGTAGTATAGAAATTTGTAATAAGATACATAATGCAGTTATAATAAAATATTAATTTTAATTAATTCAAAGTACGTTAAAATATGAAAATAATTGCATGATATGTATATTTTAGAAAATACAAGGGAAGCGGCGCATCCACAGCTTTCATGGACGACACGCCACTGCTGCAATGCAGTGAATTGGTGCTTATAATCAATAATTAAACAAAAATAAAGGGAGCAATGTTTTAAAATTGGTGTTTTCCTCTTAGAAAATTAAAAATTATGTTGTGAGGTGTAATGAAATAATTTGTAGTTGTGTAGCATCAATCATACGTATTAAACATGTTCTAATAAAACTAAATGTATTTCATATATAAAATATGTTGTTATGTTAAAAGTAGTTGAGAGGAACATTTTAAAAAAATATCTATTTTCATCTGAATGCACAGGTGAAAATAAAGATATTTTGTTTTGACTTTTGAGTAAGATCTCCTCTATTTGCTAATCAAACTACACCAGTATAAGTCCTATTATAAACAAGGTTCAAGTAGACCGTATATACACAAATGTAAATTTCATTCTTTCCTTACTCTTCACAATAATGTTTTCACATCAGTTTGAAGGCTAATGTTAATGTCTAAAAATAGTGTAAAAACTTATAAGTAACTAATTTAAACGGTATCGTTCATTTTTTCAATTTTTGTGTTAATAATTTTGATGATATAACAAAAAAGTAAACTTATGAAATTTACATTAATAAATTTAAACTTTTTTGTAAAAGATTATTGGATTTGTTAATGAACAATAAATCGAAAAAAATTCAGCAGAGTTGCTTAAATTTTCTGGCAACATTTAAAACTGTGTGTGTGGCACCATCTGTTATATTTCATTATTAAAAAATGGCAAAATACTTAATTTTGAGGGTAGAGAAGGGATTTATAAAAAAAATTGTAAATGCTAATAAAGAGTAAAATCATCATTAAGTCAGAGACTATTTGAGATATGACACCAACCCCCTTTAACTCCCCACCCCTCAACCTTTAACAAAATTTAATAGCATTAATTTCCCTAATACACAAACCTCTTGACAAAATTTCAGAAATGAACAAATTTGTCCCCCTCACATGCATATCCATACATACTGAAAAAAAACCCTGAATTTTTTTTATTTCTCAACAATTCAAGGTCCTTTGAGTCCAAAAATTTTTTTTTTTTTTTGATCGATTGACATACTTTTCCTTTGTTATATATAACAGAGCCAGAAAACTAAAAACAATTTGCTTTCCTTTACTCTTTTTGAAGCCATATAGTTTTATGATTATAGAGTAAAACAGAATAAATTAAAATAAGACCTTTTATTTTGTTAAAATAAACTTTTCAATGATTCTAAAAATATCTTGTTATAACAATTTTAACTAATTAAAAATTTTTGTTTTTAAAACTGATATAAGAGAAATTGAAAATATATTAGAAAGAACATTCCATTACTATTTTAGCTGTTTTTTAAAAAACAAGTTTTTTATAATTTAATTATATTAAAAAAATCATTGATTGTATTTTCACATACACACCTAATCTTTAATATTAAAAGCTGGTACTCATTTTAAATCTGAACTAAATTTAGTTTTCTGTAGCTAATAACAACTGAATGATGAGTGACTTTGCGATCTATTACTGGTTATTGGATATTAGACTTTAAAATTATTTTCTATTTACTTTTAGATTTTATTTTATTATTATTAATTGATAAATAAAATAGAAATGAAGTGATATGATAAAATTTTAAAAACAGTTTCCTTAGGCATTTGTATCTTAGTGACCTGATGTTTAGTATTTAGTAGATATCCCTCTTAGTATTTCTTTTTTCACTTATTTCATACATCTGCAATGAATTATATCGGGTAACCAAAAATGTTCTGTCGTTTTTTGTTGAAAGAAAACAAACCATAAAAATGTATAGGAAATAACACAATTTATTCATCAAAATAACCACCCTCACATTCGATAACCTTTTCCCAACGGGAAACAAACTTATAAATTCCATTTTTATAAAAGTCACGATCTTTAGAGTTGAAAAACTTCCCTAACTCCGTTTCTATAATCTCTCTATTTCTGAACTGTCGATTTCACAGATGATTATCTAGGCTTAAAAATAGGTGATAGTCAGAAGGGCTAATGTCAGGGAAATAAGGAGGGTGCAAAAGAGGTTCCCATCCAAGGGTCTGAATTGTGTCAGAGATCACACGCGCAACATGATGTCTATAGCATTATTGTGTAGGAAAAGAATGCCTTTACAGTTTACTAAAGCTGGCTGTTTTTCAAAAGTGATTGGTGAACTCGATGGAGTTGGTCACTGTAGACGTTAGCAGTAATAGTCTGGCCAGATGGTATAAGTTCATAGTGAACAATTCCATTTGCAGTCCACCATATGCACAATATTGGCAGGTGTCAATTGATGAGGTATCCATTTGCTGAGCTTGTAAATTTTCCCAAGACTATGCAAATGTAAATGGACAGTTTCATCACTTACGGAGAACTTTTGTGCTAATATCTGACAAGTTTGAGCGGAATCTTCTTCGATTACAGCCTCTAATTCATCATTATTATTGACATATGGCTGCCCTTCTCGTGGCGCATCTTTGAGCGACTCATCACCAGAAGAAAATTTTCTAAACCACCTTTGGGTGGTGCAAGTGCTGATAGAACTTTGTCCGAAAGCCTGGCATATTTTTTGAGTCATTTGCACAGCATTTTTTCCAAGTTTAAACTCATACAACATA